TCTTTCCCTGTGATAGATACATGGTTCATTTGGGATGTTTGCATAACCCTATTTATTTTCATAACAGCACTATGAGACATTGCTGCTATTTCAGAGAGAAATGAGGCATTGAAGGGATGACTGCTTTGCCCAAGGTCAAACAGGAGAACTTGTGGGTAGAGCAGGAAATTGAAGCGGTTCCTATCATTTCCTTTGCCAGACCCTGAACACAAGCAGGCTCAGTGCCTGGTGCTGCGCAGCTTTTGCCGGTCTCCTAAGTCGTCTCTGGTTTTCGAAAGACTGCTTTCAAAGTAGTCCGTCTGCTGCAGTGAGCACCCTGGCCTGCTTCGTACCGCAGATAAGTGTTACGTACAAGGTTAGCGTGTTTCCTTACAGACTAATGGCCTTCAAAGCACAGCTGACCAAAGGATGTTTCTAGATTATTAGGAAGGATTAAAGATTCCATTGAAAGTGATAATTTTTTTCATTCGATTATTCTACAAACAGACACCCTTCCTCTGAGAGTTGGATGCCTCATTATCACAATTATTTTCAGAGCTGCAAAGTTTATTTTACTTTCGCTCTGTTCCCTCTCCTAGTGACCTCTGAGTCCACACACTAGATTAGATCCTGATTTTTCTCTCAGTCCCTTTCAGGATCCAGGTCCCAGATAGTTACTTGAAAGCACTGAATTGTCTAAGATGATACTTGCAGAAACACTGCAAGCAATATCCTAGTTATTTCATCATCTTCATGAGTCAGAGGCTGAAACATTGTCTGTCTTCTGGTCAGTTGAATTAGTTCCAGGAAAACCGTATTTTTGCCTGTTTGGTACTTTTGTACATTTAGGAGAGCATTTTGCTGCTTGTTTATGTTTTCCACTAATGTTAATTTTTGATTATCAGTGTTTCCTGTGGTGTTGGTGGTTTAGTCTGCCTTTTTATTATATCATCATCCCGTTATATATGAACATAAACAGTTTCCCAAGTACTCTGATTTCTTCTTTTGTACAAGTATGGCTGGTGAACCTAGAAAATAATTAATCATAATGTTTCCTATCTACTGTGCATTTTACTAACATTTTTTTAATGCTCTTGAAAAAGAAATTTGAGGAACATAATTGGGATAGAGGTGTGTATCTTGGTGGGCATGTTAATTAATCTCATTACACCCTTTGTGAGGTGAGACAGTTATATTATCAGTGGTGTGTATGAAATCCTGAGGCACAGAGAGTAAACGTTAAGCCAAATGCAGTTCTGTAGTCTTATTTTAAAAAACCACGACTGTCCATATAATTGTGACAGTATATATGAGAGGCATGTTTATGGTATGTAAACACCAAGACAGCAGTCTCCACCTGACTTGGGACCCCCAAAGTGTCCTTTGCATTTCTCGGCAATCTACTATCAAAACCTTTCTTTCAAGTCTCTTTGTTTAGCAGCTCATTTAAAATATCTCTGTGGGAAGTTGTTTCCCCTCAAGCACAGCATTTGTGCTCCAAGTTAGTGTCACAGTGTCATACTCATCTTCTGCCAACTGGTATCCTTCCTGCAGATCATGAAGTGTTTGATAATGAAGAGATGAAGTTGCCAGGTGTTCATTTTGCAGTGGCCAAAGAGATGTCATAATTTTTGACCAAGAGCCAGTATCTCTTTTATCTCGTTTCATATCAAGTGCTCTTTAAAGTTGCCATCAGACCAAGACTTTTTGATGGCTTTAAAAAAAAAAAAAAGCTGTCTCCTGTCCAATTCAACATTGATCCAATCCCAAATTATGGGATGCCACTTATTATACAAAAATGTACTGAATAGTTGTAAAAAGGGTTTAATTAGTGACAGGAATTAAAAGTCCCCAGTTTGCCCATAATTTTTTTTTTTTTTTAAAGAAATGGGGACAAATCCTAGCTAATACCAATTTGAATAAGTAAGTTCTGTCTAAATTTCTCCTTCTTCCATCCTAATGAACTAATGTACTTCTTGCTTTCTGGTAAGATTCTAGCAGGGTGGGTTTATAAATCCAATAAAAACATAAATTCCTTACACCCCACAAAGAACTAGTTAGGCGCCTTGTACTGGGATTTTAATAGGCAGCTGGTTGACTCCACATAATAGCTAAGCCCACCAAAGGAAACTCTGGCGAAAGACCTTGCTTGAAATTTGCTCCTCCAGTCTTGGGTACTTCATTGTCCCTTTTAGGTGAAGACAAGTAGCTGGTTCTCTCTTCTCTCTTAAAATATAACCAAAGGAAGGAGGTACATGCCCCAAATGAGAGGTCCCCAATGTGAGTCTCAAGAAAACATCCAAACTACCATGCTGTTGACAAAACTGAGGCTGAATGCTCTGCAGCCCTCTTGGTGAACTCCTGTCACTGTGCAAACAGGAATGTCGCACTAAAATGTTCGGAGAGAGAGTAAACGGGAACATGTCTGTGTTAACTTATTGAGAGCATTTCCCAGCACTAATGCTAGTTATGGTTGTATCCAATGCCTCTTTAATGCTGTCTGTATTTGCCATGGTTTGAATACACATATTCCCTGTTTTTGATGCCAAAATGTATTTGAAAATATATTATTCCCAGTTCTTTTACAATGATCAAAAATTAGGGTTGCTACTGTTAGCACTTTTGCTCAAACTTATTATCTTACTTACATTAAAAATAGATCAAATTATACTCAATCTTGATTTTTAACAAGATGCAACCTGTAGTGTGTTGAAAAAGAGCTTTGGGACCTCTATTTTTTTCCTGTAGAAAAAGTTTTTCTGGCAAAAAAAAAAAAAAAATTTAGTCCCAGCAAGTTTTTCTGATATATCCAGATTTTTAATGAGTGTGTATCATCACCATTCCAAATAATTTAAGGGATTTGTTCAAATATACATGAGTTGAGGATTGCAAGTTTATTCTTAAAAGAAAAAAATGCAAGGAAGAAGGAAGAAAAGAAACCAAACCGGGATTGTTCATTGTTCTGATGGCTGTCAGCAAATTAGTGGGTACATGTCTGTCAGCGGTGACCTTTACCTCATTTTCTAAGCTAAAGTAAATAAGTTCCTTTTTTTGATACCTACTGTGGTTTAATTCTTAGTGTTCTACAGTTGCAAGTGTTCTCTACATTCGTGTTACGATCTTTAGTCCATTGTCAGCTTTTTGTTTTTTTCTAAGTTTCTGTCTGGTAGATGCTTTGAAAAGAACTCGTTGCTTGTATGGTGTCACATAGGTATGTTTTGTAGCCAACACTCCACTCATTATTCAAAAGAAGAAAATAAGAATAACTCACTTTGTGAGTTGCTTAGTGAGTAAGAAGAGGTAATTATTAGCACTGATGTTCTTTTGTTTTAAATTGCTAATGTGTATGGAATTTCAGGAGTGATATGTGAGGCAGTTACTTTTTACCTTTCTAACAGTACTATTTGATGTGATTTACTCCATTTTCCTCACAGCAATTGCTTGGAGAGCTTTCAGAGGTAACAAAATTACTCGTCTGATATTGAACCGCAAAAATGACTCTTTTGGACTATGTAGTTACCAAATTCCATACTGCATGCTTGTTTTGTTTGTAGTGATGAGTAGAAATGATGGGATGAATGTGTGGATGTCCTTAAAAGATCTGGAGTTAAAAAAAGAAGTGTTTAAAAAAAGAAATGTTAAATGTGATTCAAATGTATAATTGGCTTTTGTGCCAATTTTGTGCCAAACAAAATTTGAATTGTATTTCAATGTGGTTTCATCTTTAAATTTAGAATTTGAGTGATGCTTCCAGTTTAATTTTCATTTTCACTCCAGCAAATCATTCTGATGAGGCTTGTGATTGCAGTATAACATGTTTTTGAAACTACATCAGTAGCATCCATTGAGAGCTACGTGTAGTGTTTAGCGAACACTTTTTCTGGATTATGATTGTGGTGGTATGCAGTTGATGCCTTCATTTGTAATGAATCCTCTATACCATAAAAAGAGACGTGCTTTTTCCTTGCATGTTGTTTAAGAAGGTCAGGGCACACATGAGGGTACATTGTGGGGATAACAGTCTAGCAAGTGGAATCTGTGAACGAGATTAAAAAATATCTGAATATCATTAAAACATTCTAATATCTGTGAAATTTTTAAATTCATTAACAAGATTTTGAATATACCATAGTACATCTATGTATCATAAATTATGGTATACTTACTATATACCTACTAGTGCACTCTCTTTCCACCAAAGGACAGGTTTCTTAAATATACATTATTCTGCTTGTTCTCTTTTATATTATGGATTTCACTTTTCTTGGCATTTGACATATTAAAAAGCATTTATTGTCTTAACATTAAAGGACTAGAATACAGAAAAGTCAATCATATGATTTTTTTTTTTTAATCTCCCCACAATGCGCTGCACAGGGTGAACACAAAATAATTGAGATGAATGCCTTTGAACAACTAAATGCTAAGGAAAAAAAGAAAAAACAAAAAGGTTTAATGGGGAATGTGTTGTAAGACTATATGTTTGCTTCAGTAGCTGACTACTACAATTTAAGTGAAAAATTATCGAAGAGAAGCAAAAGACTTTTTTCCTAGGCTTACTTGACTGGCCATAGAAGCTGATGGGATAAATTTTCTGCTGGTGTAACTCAGCATAGCTTAGCTGTAATGGTCCCAGTTTACATTCACTACAAAATGCCTCGTCCATCAGTTAGACTTACCGAGTTGGGGATTCCTGTATAAGGGCAGTTGTTGACATTTAATGAAAGTTTGATTGTTGCCAGGGCAGTGATGTGCTGCTCAGATTCTAACATCTGGCTCCTACAAATATTTCCTTACTTGATCTGACATAAACCCCTCGCCTCCAAGGAAATAGGGAAGAGTATTTCAGGAAGTAGCAATGAATCTGGGGAATGTACTCATCTATTTTCATAGCAAAGTAAGCAGACTTCTCATAACTAAGAAATGAGGCATCCCTATTGAGCAAACAAACTTTAATATTAAACTTTCAATCTGTGTTAGTCCAAAACTGTGGAGAGAGGGAGCACTGTTAAAACAGTGAGATGTGGAGTTTGAACTGTTTGAAAGAAAAGGGTAGCACAGGTTGCTTATGAGCTTCTGGGCTTGTCTGTCATTAGGATTGCTTTGGGAAAATATATGCCTCTTCCTGTAACTGGTGCCATTCTAAAGGCAAAGAAGGAAAAAAGAAATTATCCCCCCAAATTATTCTTGAGACACCTGCTAGTTAGTTATTGGCAGCAAGATAATTTGCGTGTTGTTAGAACATTGCGTGAAGTGGGGGAAAAGAAACAACAGCCCTATTCCAAGAATTGTGGAGTTTGGGGTTTGGGGTTTTTTAATTGGATTATTGCATTGAGGTGGCATGTAGTGACAACACAAATAGCTGAAAAGGCACAACTGAATGGGTAGGAGGAGCAGGAACCTCTTAAATGGTGTCTGCAGTTCAAGAAACAACGTGTTATCCCAACCTCAGTGACGTTTGTAAGTTAAACCATTAGTCAGGCTTAGGTGTGGCTGGGTATGTTCGTTTTTCACTTTTTTTTTACATGACTTCTCTAAAATACGCATTTTTACACTGATAAAGTCCAACAGTTCAAAAATTTTGGAAGCTGTTAAAAAGTGCCAGGTAATAGAAGTTTGGGATTTAAGAACAATTTCATTTATAGAACTCATCCGTTTGAAAGAAAGAAATGTGTTTCAGATGATGCCATTGTTGTGAATTTTGTGTCCGACAGAGAAAGAAATTGATGTCAAACATTGATGCCAAATCAAGTTTTGGCAAATTTTGTAACGATATTCGGCAAGTAAGATGTCGTTGTGCATAAATGAAATCAGTTGGTGCAAAGCATCCCAGCATTTTCCACAGAAACCTGAGTTTGTCCAAGATGTCTTGTCTGATGTCTTGTCCAAGTTTTGTTGTCGAACTGAGTCTCTCTGCATCTTTTCAGAAACAAAGGACGGACTATGTTGCAAAACAACCCGATCCAGTTCCTGCTACTCCTTCGCCACCTCCAACACCCGCTCCTGTCCCCGTGGCTGTCCCCCTCCCTCCTAGCGCACCAGCACCTATACCGGTTCCCATGCCCAAAGCGCCAGCAACCATCAGCCGCCAAAGCAGCACATCTAGCGACAGCGGTGGTAGTCTTGCACGAGACACCCAGAGGCAAAAGCAAGTTCCTGTGGATCGTAAGTTTGTCTGAGAAGCAAGAAAAAAAGTATTTCTCCCATTCCTTTGTGTTTTGCTTAATCCTTAAATTCCTTAAAACCTTGTGTTTCAGATAAATATTTATCAAATATTTAGCTTTAACCCTATGTTTAAAATACACATTTTCTATATATGTGTGTTCCGACCCTCACTAATCACGATGGTAAGTAGGGACAAAACAAAATACACATTTTCTATATATGTGTGTTCTGACCCTCGCTAATCACGATGGTAAGTAGGGACAAAATGTTTCTGCACTTGTCCCAATCCTAAATCCTCTCCTTTTATGACTGTTTGGGATCTTCAGTCAGTGGTTTTCAACAGTGTAAATGCCCATGCTGGTATTCTAGCTAATGTACGTTTTCCACATGAATTCACTGCTGCATTACAACCTGAATTGCTTTTGAAATCAGCTAGGCTGTTTTTACACTTCTGTCCATGGTCATCCATATTTCTAGGGCGTTAGCACCATTCTGGAACATGTATCCAAGGCTCGCAAGAAGACTTACAGGTCTGGCTAATGCATAGGAACCATGTTGTAATCGTGTTGTAGGAGACTTGTCTTATAATCAGATGCCCTTAGCTTGGTCAAAGCAACAGCAACAGGCAGGCCACTGAGCAAATTTTCGTGTCCTTGTCTCAGGGGGATGACAGAACGTACTCCATGGCCCTTTAGCTGGAAAAACATGGTAACCTGCATCCAGCAGTGTGTGGCAGTGATGAAAAGTTCTGATTAAGGCCACCTTGTAAATATAAAGCCTAACTGCTTGCTGAGGCTCCTAATTTGTATTGACTGAAAAGCGAGTTAGTTTAGGAGAACTTACTTAGTCAATAATTTCTGTCCTAAATGCACCTCAAGCAATGTGATTGCTTGGCTTAAAAATAACTGAAAGTTGTAGGCAAGCATAAGCTTTGCTATAGCTTTTAAAGTAGTAGCTGTTAAAATAATGAGCTTTTTGCGGTTCAGGAATTGACAGCTTTTCCCATCCTCTGCCTTCCTGCCTTATCAGAAAATCCCACTTCCGCCTGAGGTAAAAACTGGCACCAAGCATAATCCTTTCTGCAGAAGGGCTTCTTTTCCACCCTGTCCCCAGTGGGTGGGAAGCATGCCTGCTTGGATAACCACACTCAGTCGGTGGAGCCTGCTTTGACATTGCCTGGTGGTAGACAAGCTCTTGCCTAAGCTCTGAACTCAGGAAGGCTCTGGGACCTTTTTAATATTTTCACATAACAGACTGGCTGGCTGGAAATTATAAATGGAGAACAGCCTGGCAGGAGAAACAGTCTTCACTGCTGTTTCCCAAAGAAACAGTAGGGCCAGCTTCTGCCTTTGTCCTATTTTGGGCAGTTTGTTACTTAAATAAAAACAGAAACCTGAGCAGTTATAAAAGATGTGGAAAGTGAGGGTGAATTTCATACACACATAAGCACAAAAATGATCATTTTATTTCCACGTAAGAAGGACTTTGCATGCTGTAGCAGGTGTGTTTCCTTGAATCCACGATGGCCTTCTCTATCCATGACAGATGGAAAATGCGAAGACCATCCTGGCTTCAGGTACAGGGTGTGAGGTGTGAAGAGTTGCTGTAGACTAAGTGGTTACAAGACATCTCTTGCTTTCTCAGCCTCCGCTGAGGCCCTGGGCCACACGTGAGAGCTCCTGTGCCCTCCCGGGAGCTGTTGCTCAAGCCCAGTTAATGGGCTTCAGGTACCTCACAGTCCTCGCAGAATAGCTGCCTCTGCAAAGGTAACGGGGAGCCCTGCCCGTGCACCTGCTACCCAAGTACCCAGCTGAACCCTGCAGAGAACGCGTGACGTAGTACCTGCTTCACGCCGAGGGTATCTTGTTTATTTATGATAAGGCATCTAACAACAGTAAGAATCTGTTATCTAACAGCTAAATATTTATCTTTTGATATAGTCTTGGTCTAGATAAAACATAAGTCTTTCAAAATCTGTGTAAATAGAAGGAAGATAGCAATTTTCTCGCTCTCTTCCTGTTTGGGAAAATAGCTGGTGCGTGCTTCGATAACATTGCCTAAAAGCTTTACTTGTACATCCCATCTCAGACCTTCACATATCACTGAGCACGTGTCATTTTGGCTTCGGATTCACACTCTGGGGGAAAAAACCCCAACACAATAGGGCCTGAATGCCTCAAATATTTTGCTAGAGATATTTTGTCCACTTTCAACCTGGGGCTATTTTGTAAAAGAAAATGGCTAAAACAAGGATTTTTCTTTTTTTGTGGTGATTTAAAAAAAAAATCCTAAAAGCCTATGTAAAGCTTGTTTTTATTTGTCTAACTGGCTAGAGATGTTGATCCTTGGAGAAGTTTTGGAAGAATATAAAAGGAAAGTAGAGAAAGAAACATTTTTGCTATCTTACAGTTTTTTCATATTGAAGTTGTGTCATTTTCCTCTGTTGCTATCAGTGTAACGGAAGAAAAGGAATAGCTTTTGCCATCTGTGAGTGCATCAGAGAAGGTGCTGTAGTTACTGTTTATGTATCAAAGTGAGAAGGTTGGATAAAGATGACTAAAAATATCTTGGTAAGGAAATCCTGAGAATTTTTGAGATCATTTAAAGTTGTGTGTCAAAGGATTTTTATAGTTATTCCAGAGTTACTGCATGGAGAGTTTAACTGTGCTAAATCAGTATCTTCTCTGTGCCCAAAAAGATATTTACACCCTTTTAGCTTCTACCTATTTTTGTGAAATTATCCATAGAACTTTTTATATCCATTTTAAACAATTTTCAGTGTCATTATAATTAATTCTGTTGAAATGCATGAAAAGCATTTCAGTTTGTTGCCTGCTGATGACCAGCAACTGAACTAAATGCTTCAGACAAATGGGTTCTGTGGGATAGCAAATTTGTACGGTTTTGTTTTAAAAAAAAAAAAACAAAAAGGTCTTGCCCAATTCGTGTGTCTCTGGTGAGAGCAACTACTTTTTTTTAAATTCTTTTTTTAATGCAAAGTGTGACATTGTTTCAGCTAACCAGTCACTCCAGGCTTGGAGTGAATTCAAATTTCTTAAAACCGCTTAAAAATGTGATAATTATAATAGCTTATTAGATGTAAGATGATATGTGTCAGCAGCAGTGAATTTTTTTTGCCTACATTGATTTACACTAAAAAGTTGAGCTTTCAATTAAAAAATGTTTGTGGAAAGTGCTGCCTTTCCACAGTGAAGGCAATCTTATATTCTTCCTCATCTTTTTTGTTTTCATTTTTAAAACATTGTATTTCTATTTGAAGAAATGCAGACTATGACAATTGAATAACCCTCCGTGCCCATTTTTTTCTACAGTTTGGGTGCTGTCAGACTGATCTACACCTCTGTGCGACATCAAGCTCATCTCCTTTCTAGGGTCTCAGTTGAATTGGGGCGGGGGGGGAGGTTGCTTTTGTTTTGCGAAGAGAGGAGTGGGAATATTGAAATCTTCCCTGGTGACAAAGGAGAATAATAATTCAGTCAGATCTAGTGAATGAATCTTTAAAGAAAAAAAAAAAGTTTAAGATTTAAAATGGAGTATAAGAAATGACCTGGCTTTGATAAAGCAGCCTTGAGAATAACTCCTGTGGCGCATCTCTCTCTCTAGGCAGGAAATCACAGATGGAGGAGGTGCAGGATGAACTTGTTCACCGGCTCACCATCGGCCGGAGCGCTGCCCAGAGGAAGTTCCATGTGCCACGACCAAACATCCCAGTAGTTAACATCACTTACGACTCTTCGCCTGAGGATGTGAAAGCGTGGTTGCAGTCCAAAGGATTCAACCCTGTGTAAGTTTGAGGGCAAATGTAAAAAAACTTCTTAAAATTATTTCCCTGCCAGTAATTAGGATATGGTCTGCCCACTTTTTAAAATCAAGAGCCTTCTGAAAATCAAGACACGTCAGCTGCACTCTTGGAAAAAAGAATTTGTTTTTACATATATATACATTTATATTTATGTATATATGTGT